CAAAATGCCCCCCCCCCCCGTGAAGATAACTGTGGGACATTTGGTGCATTTTTTTTTTTCAGAACACAAAAAACGTTACAATTCGTTCACAACGGTTGTTCTTCACCACTGTTTCCACCTTGTTTGGTCTTCTTCGCTCTAAATTGCATAAAGAGCCCCATTGGGACGTGCACGGAAGAAGTCCGTTTGTTCTCTCTTCTGGTCATAGTTTGTCATTGCAACCTTCTGAAAAATAACATTTGACCACTGCCATCGAAAAATTAGCAATCGTAAAAAATGGCCACCCAGTGAAGATAATTCTGTGACATTTCATGGATTTTTAAAAACATTTCTGAACACAAAAACGTGACAATACACAGCGGTCGTTCTTCAACAGTTTCCACATTGTATATGGCTCTTCTTTGCTCTGAAATGCGAGAGCCTTCTTTGGCCGTGCACAGCAAGCGCCGATAGCTTCCCTCTGCTCGTCAGAGTTAGTCACTGTCACCTTCTGAAAGAATTCCATTTTATTTCTTAATACCTGACAAGAGAGCTCCACTTGGACGTACAAGACAAAAGTCGATGACTGCCTTCTGCTGGTCATAGTTTGTCATTGCAACCTGATGAAAGAATACAATCTTGCTGTATTTCTTACCCTGAAAAGTCGATCACTGCCGTCTGTTGGTCACAGTTTGTCATTGCAACCCTTTTCAAGAAGATCATAATAGTTCTTATTTCCCTCAAAAAATCAGCAGTTACACATGAAGGCAGTTCTGTGAAGATCATTTTGTGACATTTTATGGATTTTTAAAAATTTCTGAACGAAAACATGACAATTAATTCACAATGGTGGTTCTTCCTCCTTGTTTCCACCTTGTGTATTGACCTTCTTCGATGTCAGTTGCGAGAGCCCCATTGTGACGTGCACGGCAGAAGTCCGTGACTGCCCTCTGCTGATAATAATTTGTCATTGCAACATCCTCGAAGGATACAGTTCCACACGATTTCTGATGACAATCGAAAAATCAGCAGGAACACAAAATGACGCCCCTGTGAAGATAATTGTGTGCCATTTAGTGGATTTTTTTTTTCAGAACACAAAAAACGTGACAATTCTTTCACAACGGTCATTTTTCACCACTGTTTCTGTTAAGATTGTATGTTTGCCTTTTACAACTGAGCCAGTAGAGGGCAATATAACTCTACTTTTGTTCATGGTGAGTGACGTAGTCGGCCCGAGAAAAGGGACACGCCTTTTCTTTGCTTTCTCTTCTTCTCTCCACCTGTTCAATAAAACACCTCACTCAACATGTCATTCTTGGATGTTAGGCAGAAGGATGCCAATCTGCACGCGCTGTGAAGCAACTCTGCTAACAGTTTCCACCCTGTTTTCGGATCTTCTTCACTCTCAATTGCGAGAAGGGCCCTATTGCAACGTGCAAGGCAAAAGTCGATTACTGCCCTTTTGTGGTCACAGTTTTTCATTGCACCCTTTTGAAAGATGACCATATTATTTATTACCCTCGAAAAATCATCAGGAACACAAAGTGCCCAGCTTGTGAAGATAATTTTCTGACAACTGATGGATTTTTTTCCATTTCTGAAAACAAAAAACATTGCTATTCATTGATGACGGTTGTTCTTCCCCACTGTTTCCACCTTGTTTTTGGCTCTTCTTCGCTCTCAAATGCGAGAAGAGCCCCATTGGGACGGACGTGCATGGGAAAAGTCCGTCTATTCCATCTACTGGGAATAGTTTTTCATTGCAACGTTCTTAAAAAGAACATTTCTGACTGCCATCGAAAAATTAGCAATACAACAAAATAGCCACCCAGTGAAGATAATTCTGTGACATTTCATGGATTTAAAAAAAAAAAATCTTTCACAACGGTCGTTCTTCAGTTGTTTCCACATTGTGGATGGCTCTTCTTTGCTCTGAAATGCGAGAGCCCTCTTTGGCCGTGCACAGCAAGAGCTTCCCTCTGCTCGTCAGAGTTCGTCACTGTCACCTTCTGAAAGAATACCATTTTATTTCTCAATACCTGACAAGAGAGCTCCACTTGGACGTGCAAGGCACGTTGGCTGCTAGTCATAGTTTGTCATTGCAACCTGATCAAAGAATACCATCTTGCTGTGTTTCTTACCCTGAAAAGTCAATCACTGCGGACTGTTGGCCACAGTTTGTCATTGCAACATCCTTGAAGAATACCACACGATTTCTGATGACAATCGAAAAATCAGCAGGAACACAAAATGCCCCCGTTGTGAAGATAATTGTGTGACATTTGCTGGATTTTTTTTTTTTTTTTTAATTTCAGAACACAAAAAACGTTTCAATTAGTTCACAACGATCGTTTTCACCACTGATTCCCCCGTGTTTTCGGATCTTCTTCACTCTCAATTGCGAGAAAGGCTCCATTGGGACGTGCAAGGCAAAAGTCGATGACTGCACTTTTGTGGTCAGTTTTTCATTGCACCCATTTGAAAGATGACCATATTATTTATTACCATTGAAAAATCATCAGGAACACAAAATGCCAAACTTGTGAAGATAATTTTGTGACAACTGATGGATTTTTTTCCGTTTCTGTAAACAAAAAATATTGCTATTTATTCACAACGGTCGTTCTTCCCCACTGTTTCCATCTTGTTTTTGGATCTTCTTCGCTCTGAATTGCGAGAAGAGCCCCATTGGGACGTGCACAGTCGAAGTCCGTATATTCCCTCTTCTGGTCATAGTTTGTCATTGCAACCTTCGCGATTTATTTTGAAGGCTTTGCTTGCAAGTCCCGGCACTCTGGGCCTATTTTTGCTTCGCGCAGCGACAGCAGGTCCAAGCCGGCAGCACCCGCCACCCACACACACACGCCATGATGAGAAACAGCCTGAAACTGAGTCTTGCGATGCACTTTTGCAGCCTGTTAACTATCGTAGCTCACACGTACCCTTTTAAAGTGCTTCCCTGGGCCTTCCTAGATTCCTATTCTTTACCCGTGCCCTCGGTGAATTGTACACGAAGCAAACTCTGAATGAGAATCATGACAATAAAAGATAGAGCGAAACAGCTCTGATCACAAGCTGCAATAGCAGACTGCTGAGGGCTAACAAATTTCGGTGACGTAATCACGCGCCACCGTAAATTCAAGATTTACCTGCTTTATTTTATTTTTAAATTTTTTTTTTTTTTTTTTTTTTGAAAATGAGACTGATAGGATGATTAAGGTGCAGCGTACATTAACTCAAAAATATATGACTAACATGTACAAAGACACACAAATGGTTGTTTGTTTTTTTTTTGTCTTCGACACTCCTCGGATCTACTTGGGACCTGTCTGAGATCTACCAGTAGATCAGGATCGACGTAATGGGCACCCCTGGTCTATTCCCTCTTCTGGTCATAGTTTGTCATTGCAACCTTCACGATGTATTTTGAGGGCTTTGCTTGCAAGTCCCGGCACTCTGGGCCTTTTTTTGCTTCGCGCAGCCACAGCGGGACAAAGCAGGGCGGCAACCGTTAATTTCGGGACATTGCTAGTGTGCGCGGTGATTTTTTTCAGCTTTTACTTTTAATCCGCGCCTCTCTGGGCCCTACAAAAAACCCAAAACGGCAAGGGGAGGGGATAGGTTCACTTCCAGACAGCTACGGGTTGCCGAGGCAACATTTGACACACAACGCAAGCAACACGGCGAGGTTTTTCAGGCCTTGCTTGCAAATCCCTGCACTCCGAGCCTATTTTTGCTTCGCGCAGCGACAGCGGGACCAAGCCGGCGGCACCCGTTAATTTCCGGACATTGCGTGTGCGCAGTGATTTTTTTTTCAGCTCTTACTTGTAGTCCGCGCCAATCTTGCCCCTACAAAAAATCCAAATCGGCAAGGGGAGCGGATCGGTTCACTTCCAGACAGCTGCGCGTTGCCGAGGCAACGTTTGACAGACAACGGGACTAACACGGCGAGGTTTTTCAAGCCTTTCTTGCAAATCCCAGGACTCCGAGCCTACTTTTGCCTCACGCAGCGACAGCGGGTCCAAGCCGGCGGCACCTGTTAATTTCAGGACATTGCCAGTGTGTGCGGTGATTTTTTTCAGCTCTTACTTGTAGTCCGCGCCAATCTTGCCCCTACAAAAAATCCAAATCGGCAAGGGGAGCGGATCGGTTCACTTCCAGACAGCTGCGCGTTGCCGAGGCAACGTTTGACAGACAACGGGAGCGACACGGTGAGGTTTTTCAGGCCTTGCTTGCAAGTCCCGGCACTCCGAGCCTAGCGCAGCGACAGCGGGTCGAAGTGCGGCGGTAACCGTTAATTTCCGGACATCGCGAGTGTGCGCGGTGATTTTTTTCAGCTCTTACTTTTAGTCCGCGCCTCTCTGGGCCCTAAAAAATATCTCAAACGGCAAGGGGAGCAGATCGGTTCACTTTCAGACAGCTGCGCGTTGCCGAGGCAACGTTGTCGAGTGACATGGCGAGGTTTTTCAGGCCTTGCTTGCAAATCCCGGCACTCCGAGCCTAGCGCAGCGACAGCGGGTCGAAGTGCGGCGGTAACCGTTAATTTCCGGACATCGCGAGTGTGCGCGGTGATTTTTTTCAGCTCTTACTTTTAGTCCGCGCCTCTCTGGGCCCTAAAAAATATCTCAAACGGCAAGGGGAGCAGATCGGTTCACTTTCAGACAGCTGCGCGTTGCCGAGGCAACGTTTGACAGACAAAGGCAGCGACACGGTGGGGTTTTTCACGCCTTGCCTGCAAATCCCGGCACTCTGGGCCTTTGTTGCTTCGTGCAGTGACAGCGGGACCAAGCCAGTGGCACCCGTTAATTTCCGGACATTGCGAGTGTGAGCGGTGATTTTTTTCAGCTCTTACTTGTCGTCCGCGCCACTCTTGCCCCTACAAAAAAATCCAAAACGGCAAGGGGAGCGGATTGGTTCAATTGCAGACAGCTGTGCATTGCCGAGGCAACGTTTGACAGAAAACAGGAGCGACACAGCAAGGGTTTTCAAGCCTTGCTTGCAAATCCTGGCACTCCGAGCCTATTTGTGCTTCGCACATCGACAGCGGGTCATCGCGGGGCGGTAACCGTTAATTTCCGGACATCGCGAGTGTGCGCGGGTGATTTTTTTCAGCTCTTACTTTTAATCCGCACCCCTCTGGGCCCTACAAAAAATCCAAAATGGCAAAGGGAGCGGATCAGTTCACTTCCAGACAGCTGCGCGTTGCCGAGGCAAAGTTTGACAGACAATGGGAGCGACATGGCGAGATTTTTCAGGCCTTGCTTACAAATCCCGGCACTCTGGGGCTTTTTTTGCTTCGCGAAGCGACAGCGGGTCCAAGCCGGCGGCACCTGTTAATTTCCGGACATCGCGAGTGTGCGGGTGATTTTTTTTTCAGTTCTTACTTTTAATCCGCGCCTCTCTGGGCCCTACAAAAAATGCAAAACGGCAAGGGGACCTCATCGGTTCACTTCCAGACAGCTGCACATTGCCGAGGCAAACATTTGACAGACAACGGGAGCGACACTGCGAGGTTTTTCAGGCCTTGCTTTCAAATCCCCGCACTCTGGGCCTTTTTTTGCTTCGTGCAGAGACAGCGGGTCCAAGCCGGCCTCACCCGTTAATTTCCGGACATCACGTGTGTGCGTGGTGATTGTTTTCAGCTCTTGCTTGTAATCCGCACCACTCTTGGCCCTACAAACGATGCAAAACGGCAAGGGGACCGGATCGGTTCACTTCTCGACAGTTGCGCGTTGTTGCGGAGACGTTTGACAGCGCGAGCTACCTGGCGATGTATTTTTACGGCTTTACTTGCAAATCCCGGCACTCCGGGCCTTTTTTCGCTTTGGGCAGCGAAGGCGGGTCCAAGCAAGCGGCAACCGTTAATTTCCGAACATGTCCCGTGTGCACAGTGATGCCTATCAGCGCCTGCTTGTTTCCATCTATTCGGTTTGTCTTTCTCCAGAGACATCAGCAAATGTAAAGTTTTTTTTTATTTTTTATTTTAAATCATCCACTAGTCCAAGCGGCCGGTCCAAGCCTATGGCAACCTTTCAGTTTCGGAATGTCACGTGGTCGCCGTTTTTACGCTTGCTTGCAATGCGCGTCTTTCGCGGCCCTGTATTAACGGCGTAGTTTCAGCAATGGCAAGCGCACGGGATCGGTTTGGTTCTCGACAGTCGTGCGGGTGAGCTCTCACAATTGAGAGCGAAGAAGAGCCATACACAAGGTTGAAACAGCGGGGAAGAACCACCGTTGTGAATTAATTGTCATTATGTTTTTGTTCAGAAATTTAAAAAAACCCACAAAATGTCACAAAATGATCTTCACAGGGCTGCCTTCATGTGTAACTGCTGCTTTTTCGAGGGAAATAAGAACTAATATGATAATCTTGAAGAGTGTTGCAGTGACAAACTGTGACCAACAGACGGCAGCGATCGACTTTTCAGGGAAAGAAATACAGGAAGATGGTATTCTTTCATCAAGTTGCAATGACAAACTATGACCAGCAGAAGGCAGTCATCGACTTTTGCCTTGCACGTCCAAGTGGGTTCGCTTGTCAGGTATGAAGAAATAAAATGGTATTCTTTCAGAAGGTGACAGTGACAAACTCTGACGAGCAGAGGGAAGCTATCGGCGCTTGCTGTGCACGGCCAAAAAGGGCTCTCGCATTTCAGAGCAAAGAAGAGCCATACAAAATGTGGAAACAGTTGTGAAGACAGATCGTTGTGAATTAATTGTCACGTTTTTTTCTATTCAGA